CTCTCTCTCTCTCTTGGCAATGGGCAGCAGCGGCAGGCGGCACGTCAAAACAGCCGCTTTGAAATTGCTCGGGCCTGTGTGAAACCCGCCACCCCGGACCTAAAGGCTCTGTCCAGTGGGGTGAAACGACACTGAAAAATCACCCCATTATTTTTCAAGGGCCCTGGGCCGCCCCTTTATTTTTTTCTATTTTTGCCGTGGGGGCCTCCATCCGGACATAAGAACCGGAGACCCGAGACCGGACATGTTGTTCCGGACTGTCTGGAACCCGGTCCGGACATCCGGTCGGTTACCATTAAATTAAAATAATATTTATTTATTTATTTTTGTATTTTTGTCTGGCCCGGCTGGGCAAGTGGTCCCACATATTTACATCACCATTAACACATCTGCCTACGGTTTACAACTTTATGCATATTTACATCACCATTAACACATCTGTCTACGGTTTACCGCGCAGCTCTGTTTGACGATATATACCACTATTCGCTAGAACCCTGGTACGGTTTTCACCGGTCAGGTCGAGCAGCAGTGGTCGGGGCCATCACTACGCGGCCATGCTGTGCCTCTAGTGCCAGCGGTGTGTCTGGAGTGTACTTTTTGGCTGTGACAGGCCTTTCTTTGTTTCGTGGGTGTTTTTGCTGGCTTGTGATGGGGTGCGAACCAACGCTCTGGTGCCCACCTCAGGTACCTTGAGGGCAGTGGTTGGTGCCCACCTCAGGGTATGAGTTGTCGAGCAGTCGTTGATGCTTAACCACAGCCGGGGTTAAGGTGGATTATCGCTTACAGTGTAACCAGTTAGGGGATTCTGCAGACTGTTGAGGGTTCAGACTTTTGATGAGTTGGCGAAACTCCAATGAAACAGTTTGTCACAGCCCCTCGTTTGTTGTCCTCTTCTCCCTCTATGCCTACAGTTTACCGGGCAGCTCTGTTTGACTATATATATCATCATTAGTTTACATCTCCAAACAGTATACATCATAAGTATATATCCTCCAACAAAGCTTCCTGGTAGACCGTAGGCAGAGAGGGAGAAGAGGACAACAAACGAGGGGCTGTGACAAACTGTTTCGTCGGAGTTTCACCGACTCATCAGGAGGCTGAATATATTGTCACATAACTACGAACTAAAAGATCAAACTTTACGACAAGAGGTAAAGATGAAAAGACAAGACCAATAGGAGGGGCACACTGAAGTGACTGAACCATTCATTTTTATCATTCTTCTTTTAACTCCCCCTTCACCGTGCCTCTCACGTACAAGGCTCGCCACGTTGATGAAGTGAGCGCAAGCTGCCCGCATCCCCGTATGCCATAACGGCCCACTTGTACGCTGTGAGAAAGCGGCAGAGTAAAGGGGGAGGTGATAGACACAGGGAAGCGAGATGAAGAGAAGAGATGCAAAGAATGAAAAAGGGAAAGTAAGGATACGAAAAGGCTCAAGAATGAGTCTTCGGAAAAAAGATACCGTAGAACCAGGGGGGATAAAGGTAGCCTGATAAACAATTTAGAATTTTAGACGCGTAGTACCAGGTTGGTGTAATGCTCCAAAGCAACCTGCCAAAACATGGTTGTGTAATGGGAAATGCAACCGATCTTGTATTGTTGATACACATCGCATACCTGCAGTAGTAGAATGATCGATTCCTACTCCCGCTCGGCTGCTACTAGCTAGCTGCAGAAAGCAGCGCAATCATCCTTTGGATAAATGAATCTAGACTACCATATCTCTCTTACACTACCTACCTACCACTACTTCTAAGCCTATACAGGGGACCCCTGCAAGCATAGCTTCCTACCTCCCTTCGGTGAAGGGAGGTTACCTCTCTCAGTGGAGAGAGGTAATGGCATGTTTGCCCCTTTTCCCTAGCGTTTAGGTTGTAGGGTTGGGGCTGCAGGTGGGGGCCCGGCTAACACAAGGACCGAGCATTTGCCAGTAACTGTGCCTCCCTTTTCATTTAGACAATACTGTTACTCCGTAGAGGTGGGTGAAGATGAAAAGGGAGGCACAGTTACTGGCAAATGCTCGGTCCTTGTGTAAGCCGGGCCCCCACCGGCGGCCCCAACCCTGCACCCTAAATGCTAGGGACAAGGGGCAAACATGCCGTTACCTCTCTCCACCGAGAGAGGTACCCTCCCTTCACCGAAGAGACGTAGAAAGCGATGCTTGCAGGGGTCCCCTGTATAGCACGAGTAGTCGTAGCCTCACAGGTAGGTATTGAAAGAAAGATATCCCATGACATGGCAGAACGCCAGTTAAAACTATGTGAGGTGAGAGAATAATATATGGCTGTCCCCCGATGATCAGGAGAAGACATCTTTTTCTCACAAAAACTAGCAAACGCAAAAAACATAACATAATTCTGAGATGCATCGCATATATGCAGAGTAGAAAGACCACAACATACTCTCTCTCCTGCTGGTACTAGTGGACTGCAGAAAGCACGGAAATCCTTTGCTGAATTTTGTTCCTTAGATGATTGTTTTGAATCCTTAGATCTCCTTACCTCATGATGAAAACTTCCTGCGCAAACTCCTTCTGGGAAGTGTCACTCATGCGCTCAGGTTTCAAAAACTTGATGGCAACGACTTGCCCACAGTAGGTTCCTTTGAACCTGGGAGAAATGCACAAAAGGCAAGAAAACGGACACGTAAGGTATTTGCTAATTTTGCTTGGTCTATAGGCATTCGTTTCACTTCGATGCCTTTTGTCCTTGTCGCAAATCCCAAGACAAATCCTGCAAGAAGCCTTCTCAAAAAGTGAGGGCTTAGTGACCCCCCTAGACCATCTTCAACCTGTACAAACCCACAAACCGCCCCCCCCCCCCCTCTCTCTCCCCCGGGCTATATTTTTTCCTGCCCCAAAGTCTGGCGTCGGCCAGAATACATCATCCATAATTTGTGAACCATTCTCACTGCTTTAGAAGTTTCCTTTTTTTTTTTTTTTTTTTTTTTTTTTTCGGGGGTGGAGGGGAGGGGGGTTGTTGTGCAGGTTAAAGACGGTCGTCCTTTATCGCACGGCCATCGAGGCAGTCCCCAGGAAGGCTCGGCAAACTGCCCCCCTCTGGATTTAGAAGTCTCGATCTTCGAGAGGTGCAAAGTGTGTGGTCGAATGAACATTCAAGCGTGCAACTTGGGTCAGGAACAAAAACAGCAAATGTATCTTGTGGTAGAACATGGAGAAATGCAGTTATGTTCCTGAAAATAGCAAATGTATCTTGCGCTAGAACATGGAGAAATGCATTTACCATCTTGACATTTGACGAGTAGTGGAACAAAGATCTTATAGAGCGTCACACATTACCAAACGTTCAGTGTCACTGTTTCACATCATGATTCAAGCAATCATCGACGATTAAACTGCTTGAAAAAAAAAGATGTATTTGCATCATGGAATAGATTGAAGATTTACAGCAAAACAATGTTCAAACTTCAAAGTTCAAACTTCAAAACAAATTACAGGATTTAGCTGCGGACCTGAGGTAGCATTGCAGCATCCTGTTTTCGTTACATTATAACAACGTCTGTTACTTATTCTATCCTCTCTGGTTGAACATGTGCGAGGAATGCGCCCTCGCGGGGCCCTTATCTGACATGCAAGTGTTCTGGGCTGCGACCCCCAGCAACCCCGCGCCCGCCCTAAGTGAAGGCGGGCCTGAATATCCATGTGAGGCCTATTTTCCCCATTTTCGATATGTCCGGAATCAGACAGAGTTTCAGCACGTTGGTTACAGAGCAACGTGAGCCCCCAGGCTCTTTCCAGAAGCAAGAGCTGCGCTGTACAGTTGAGCCCAGGACTCAGGCGGTTGCGCCCTGGGAACATGCTGTGTGAGGCCGACACATCACGGACTGGCCACGGGCCAATGAGGGAGCAGCCTGTCGTCGCACATGCACCACGAGCCAATGAGAATGCTCCGAACACTTTGAGGCTGGGTGGCTGCCTGAACATGCCTAACTGCACGAGGCACAGGCCAGTAACTGAAACTGGGCCTGGGCGCAGACACTTGGGGCCAGAGTCAAGCTACCGCCCCCCCCCCCCTGGCCAGGCCAGCCAGCAGCGGGCACACTTTCCATAAAGGAAAGTGTGTGCCCCAGAGGAGGGCATTCTGGCCTTGGTGGGCAATGCAACCACGCTGCTGCACTCGCACACGAGCAGCTGCATTAGCGCTGCGGGCCAGACACGCGCACGGACGCTGAGGTGAGAGGGGCGCTGCTGAGGCAGTGGGCGCACAGCGGCCATAACCGGGCTGCTGGGTTGCAGGCAGGTGATGGCGATGGTGGTCTTCAGTGAGGAGGCGCATGAAGTGGGGAGTGGAGGGCTGATGAGGGGAGGAGAGAGAACGTACCTGGTGTATGCTGGCGGTCTGCATTGGTGATGACGTCATGTACAATTGTCTTCAACTTCGATGTGATCCAGCCGCATGGACATAGATAGGATAAATGGCTGAGCAGTGTAGGCTGGGCGCTGCGCGCCAGACAGTAGGAGCGACATTGGATACAGTGTTGGTGTGACCAGAGAGTGTCGGCATTGGCACTCAAGTTCATCGTATTGCTCTTATTTGGATGATATCTTGGTGCGTTGTGCTCTCTGCTTGGTACATGCCTATCTGGACTCTTTGCAACTTGGATTTCTGTCTATCGCTCTCGCTCATATTCCTTGTATAGTCCAACGCCATTAGGAAACAAGTGGTTGAATTGACCCAAGATCATTTCACCGCAGCAACCATGATTACAGTCGAGCCAACTGGAATCAAGACATTTCGTTGCACAAAAAAGGGGGGAAAAAAAAAAAGATTTTACTTGCATCGCAACTATGTGGGGAGGTTCAATAGAATTAAAAACAGTTTAAAACACCTATGTTCTTCTTGTTACCGTAGGAGGATTCATCTTCTTGTTTACCATAGGAGGAGTTATTGCCAATTTTATTATGTAAGTCTCGTTTTGACATCGCTCTGCATGGCACTTATTTATAGTAGGCTAGAAGCACATTTTCTTTACACACTTTCTATGGAGCCGTGTTCGTTTTTGAAAGGATTTCACCCTATGTCCATGTCCTGAGTCCCGGTCCCATAGTCCCACCTCGTCTTACTTCCAATTGGTTCTAGTAGGTCCCAGGTAGAGGGTCCTGGGACTTCGGTAGGCCTAGAGCCCGACGCATCGTAGGTCCATAGGGTCCGGTAGAATAGGTCATTAGATGTCATAGGCCCGGTACCTGACAAGAAAAGTCTGCAGTCGCAAACTTCAATTTCGTAGCAACATCCTGGGAAAGTCCGGTAAGCTCCAGAACTGGCAAACTGCAGCCGACAGGCCGCAACGACCGGTACCAGTCTGGAGCCGACAACGATTCACTCAGCTGCTATTTATAGTTGCTACAGTGCTTCATCGGGTCAGTTGTCAATTCGCACATTGCCGAAGGTCTGCTGAACTGCTTGTGTGACCAACGCGTTGGACAGTCTGGTGACAAGCGGAGAAGAAGGGCGGTTGGAACCATAGCTAGAGTTGCACGGGTGAGAGTGAGTGATTCAAGGTTTGTGTGTGTGTGTGTGTGTTTGTGTGTGTGTGTGTGTGTGTGTGTGTGTGTGTGTGTGTGTGTGTGTGTGTGTGTGTGNTGTGTGTGTGTGTGTGTGTGTGTGTGTGTGTGTGAGAGAGAGAGAGCGAGAGCGAGAGAGAGAGAGAGAGAGAGAGAGAGAGAGAGAGAGAGAGATTGCCTGTTCGGGTTTGCTAGCGATAGCACCCATAAACAGCTTGCAATTGAACTCAATTCTTGTATAATAACGAAGTGTTCGGAGGCGGTTTCATTTTCGGGTGTGCTCAATTGTTGTTCGATGCTTGGTGTGAATCTTCCATCAGGTTCGATGTGCTGCAAGTTCGATTGGTGGTTGTTTGCATTGGGGCTCCTTGCAGCTCTATTTGCACACTTCAACTACTAGATACGTAAAACCTCTGAAATTAATATCCAGGAACTATTAGATAACTTTCTTTGGTGTGAATTTGACTCTCTTTCCTATGTTTTCAACTTTTCATTGGCTAATTTTTAGGGAATTCCATACACACTCGCAAGGAAATAGAGAAGGAAATTGCTTCTGATTCTTCCGAATGAAAAAACGACTCCACTCTACCAAATTCCTTTTTTTTTTTTTTCCGGGGATGGGGGAGTGGGGGGGGGCAAGCAGGGCGGGTTCAACAGTACCCCTCTTCCTACTCTCAAGTGCTAATTATGACATGCAAACTGCTGGGCTCCGAGTACCGAGGTTATAGGAGCTAGGCTGAAGGCGGGAGAAGCTGTGCTTACAGATCTCCAAAGGATCCCGACGCGATCTTTGATACAACCTTCAGCTGGCTGTTGTCGAGTTCCCAGTCATCATTGCTGACATTGGATGGAGGAGAAGTCACAGGCACTGTGCTGTGCATAGGGGAAGCTGAAGGCGATGGACCAGCACTCCTTGCCCACATCCCCTTCTGTAGGCCACAACACCAACAAAACATGAAAATCGATCAAATCACTGTTTAACTTGCTAGCACTAGTACACCATTTATTTGTTCCTCAGCAATGTTTAGATCCTTTAGATGTTCGGACGAATTCATGCTGTTTCTTAAGACATCTTTAGACATCTATTGATGTCTGGTGTTACAAAATGGATTCTTCAGACATCTATCATGGTGTTTCAACAACAGAATGTCAAGCATTTGGTGTGCTGATAAATGACATCTATTCATGTGGGCAAAAGTAACTGAAATTAAAAGAAATGAAAGTAAAACTGCACCCCCTTTTGTAAGGCAGAAAAGAACAAGCAGCCAGGAAGAGCAAAGCCGACATACCAATGAGAATTTAAACTAGGGTCGGCAAAACTGCACAAGGTTGTCCTTGGTCCTCTTGATCTGTTCGCATTGCCTTCGCCAAGGTGCATCCCTCCAGGAGCCTTGTAAACAAACGCCAATACCCGAAGGACTCAAACAGCTATCCCCACCCAGCCCACCACCTAATCCCAATTTCAGACCGAGGCATAACTCCGTGCCACAGAGATGCCTTACTCTTTGGAGTTAGGCGAAGGTGCTCCTGCAGCACACCATCAGTCGAGGGTAAAAGGTGGTCATCCAGAAAACACTACCATTGTTCGAACCATAGCAACGCCGGACCAGATCTGGACACCAGTCCTTAAAACTAAGCCGGTGATTTGCCACAGCAGCCCAGGATGGAAAACCCGATGTGGGCCACCAAAGGACAAAAAAGGGCTACCGCCTGGGTTGCATCCTAGCTGACAGCCCACCCCAACTGCCGACCGTTTTGCAACATACCGGTAGGACCGACCGCTCGGCGGTCTGCCAACCAGTTGAAAGAGAGCCATCCACTGATTTTGTTTTTAAATGCGACTTTGGGGCTGTACTGCGCTTGCTGAGTACAGCCCAAATCCGCTGAGAAATTTGTTGGGGGGGGAGGGGTTGGGGGAAAGGCCCAACGATTAACTAGAGGAGATGCAGACAAATTGG